CATGATACATTTCCAGATCTTCATGATGTTTCAAAAGGGTGTTATGAACATATAAATATTCAATTTCAAATTCAGATCTAACACCTTCTTTCATAATATTTTTTCTGAACTTTCAAAATACAAACTCAAGCATTCTTCATTTTCATGCATAAGTTTTCTGCACATTTTCATACTTTAAACATAAAACTTTGAGCAAATATATCTTGAGTATTTGTATAATATTATTATTGAAAGAAGAATACTATACATTGTCAAAATCACTCTTAGTGATCAATATTACTCTACTCACTCAAACTCACAAATTGATATTTACTTACTTATTTTCCAGGATTGTTGGAATTAAGTTTAAGTGTTTTTGTTGAAATCTTGTCTTTCCAAGTTGTTGGATACAAGTGTAGTTACATCGAGAGGATTATTCTCATAGGTAACTTAGTGAAAATACAAGAGGATTGTTCTTGGTCCAAGAGGATTGTTCTTGGTTTGGTTGGTAGTTCTTGTGTAAGTTTGCCACAATAAGGAAATCTCTTTCATGTTGAAAGGGGACTGGAGTACTCTCGGACTGTGAGGGGAACCAGGATATATCGCCCATGTCTCTTTATTTTTCTGCATCTTTAAGCTTTCCTAAACTCACTTATAACCAGAAAAATAAGAACCATCATCACTAAAAACCAGATTTTTTAAAAGTACCTAATTCACCCCCCTCTTAGGCGCACTTCGTACTTACATCTTCCATACATCACATAAACATCACATAAACATCACAATTAAGTCACAATTACCCAACATAAATTAATCGAATAAATTAAATAAATAATCTAATTATCTTGGGGTGTTACACCGACTGCTGAGGAGGCTGTGGCTGCTGAGGAGGCTGTTATGGATGAGTGGGCTGCTGAGGAGGCTTTTGTGGAGACGGTTGTTGAGCAGGATGATAAGGTGTTTCCCACTGATACAAATGCCATGACTCATGCGTCTATGGGACCATCCGTTCACACTGATGGAGTCTTTCCAGGAGGACCTTCAAACAATTGTGTGCAGACAGGATTTTCTGAGCATGTCACATACAGGACATGGCAGAGGGAGGTATATGTTTTGTTTTCTTTTATTGCAAATTTTTCATTACGGTTCGATCAAGTGTTTGAAAGTTGATGTATAATTTTTTTTTAACTTTGCTTCTTACAAGAGTGTGTGGTGCTGAAGGTCGCATCTCATAGTTCGAAGTTGAAGAACTTCCCAGAGGGTGAGATGCCTGAGGAGGTCAGGCGTATTGTTTCTGATTTTCATCTGCTAGAGTTTGCTCAGTGCTCCTTGACCATGCTCGATGTCTCATTCCTATCAGCCTTTGTTGAGAGGTGGCACCTAGAGACATTATCATTTCATATTCTATTTGGGGAGATGACGATCACAGATATCGACACCTTGTTTCACATCCCGATAGCTGGTACATTCTTCACACCTCCTCATATTAACCATGTGATGATGGTGCATATGGTTATGGATGATTTAGAGGTATCTGAGGTGAAGGTTCTAGAGGAGTTTGGATTTAATCAGGGATTCACCTTTGGATGTCTTGGTTGAGGACATTGTACAGGGAGCACGTAGAAGCCCATAGGTATGAGGATTTTGCTAAGGCGTGCATGCTACATTTGATGGAATGTACTCTCTTTGCAGAGAAGTCTAGGGTTTACATTGATGTTCGTTACTTGTCTTTGTTCAGTACACTAGACACTCCATGTTGGGCTTGGGGAGTGGCAGTGTTAACCATGTTGTACACAACACTTGGAGTTTCTTCTTAGCCTGAGACCAGACAACTAGCTGGTTATCTGAGCCTATTACTGGTACACTAACATTTATTTGTTGGTTTTTATCAATTTATTTGAGTATATTATTTACTGTTGGATGTTATATTAAATTGTTTTTATTTAGGGTTAAATATGTTTTTGGTCCCTATAAATATCTCAAATTTGGCTTTTATTCCCTATAAAAAAAGTCGAGTTTTAGTCTCTATAAAATTACTTTTGCATGCAGTTTTAGTCCCTATAGAGGGACTAAAACTGTGTGCTAAAGTAATTTTATAGGGACTAAAACTCAACTTTTTTTATAGGGACTAAAAGTCATTTTTGGTAATTTTATAGGGACTAAAAACATATTTAACCCTTTTATTTATGCAGTGTTGGATATACGAGCACTTCCTCCACATTTGTGACTGAAAGATCTGATGTGTCCCGCCTAGTGTTCCATAGGAGAGGAGATGGAAGGGCAAGTAAGCCCTTCCAGAAGGTGTGATGGAGTACATGAGGAGGCTTGGCGCTCTAACCAAAAGGATGTTATCTGGACACCATATACGTCCCGTCGGGCCCATCGTACATTTGACGATGCTTCTTTGTATTCAAGGCATATTAGGTGGGAGAACCACGTGGCTAGACACTTTCCTGAGATGTATCTACGATAGTATGGTTATATCCAGGGTATCCCTCGTCCAGTTCTAGAGGATCCAACT